ATATTCTTGGTTCTTTCGGTAAAGTCACGTAGATGAAAATAAAAATAAAATAACAAATAAATGTAATTAAAAATAAAAGCAAAAAACTCACGACGTTTCAATTGCAACACAAGCGGCCTGATGAAGACCCCTTGTGTTGCGATCGAAACGTCGTAGGTTTTCTGCTTTTATTTTTAATTTACTTTATTTATAATTTTGTAAAATTTGTATTTTCTATCTACGTGACTTTACCGAAAGAACCAATAATATGAATTCCTGCAGTCACGAATGTTTTAAGTCAAAATGTAACATTGGGTCGCACATAAATGTAATGTTTATCCAATTACGGTCAATTCTCAGAGCTGGAATGTAGCCAAATGGAGTGCAGCACTCAGCATAATGTGATGGGGTTTCTTTTATAGCAATTGAAAATGGCATTAAATTCCAGCTTCGGCAGAAACCACTGTGATGTCTACTGCAGTGAGTTCGTCTATAGTGGTAATACTGTGTAAATGGAAGGTTTTTATTGAGCGAGTGACGGATGTGAATCATACGAGAAAGTGAACGAATGACTCAAATGTACCTGAGCCTATGATTATAATGTGATCAATCTGAACACTGTACCTCACTTCGCCGCACTTGAGAATGCGGTTTCATCAGCAGGTGGATCCTGAAACGCATCACTCTTCTCTGGCCACTACTATGGTTACCGCTACCGTGAAATTCACTCGTGAATTCCTCCTCCCATAACCATTGACTGCTTTGGATATCTGCGGCTTTAGGGGCCATCCATTTAGTACGTACGCAAAAATCTGTCAAAACTTGACCCCTCCCCCCCTCCCTGTACGCACGCGTACCTTTTAACACCTCCCCCCCCCCACCTGCGTACGTACGCTTGACGCACCCCGCCCCCCCCCCCCCCCCCAATCCTATAGAACGGCCGATATTTAATCCACGCAGAAACGATCAAGGATAAATAATATTAACGTGTTGAAGCAAACAGATAGTCCACCGCCTTTAAATAATTCAAGAATTAAGTTGCGTACCTTGGCCACTTATTTTGCTGAGTTCCGTTATAGCTGCAGTCAGGGGTACGGTGACACCTCTCCCACAGTCCCACTTCTCCCGCTAGTACTTGTTGTCTGACAGCTGGAGAAACTGAACTGTGCCTCATTTGAAGGCCAATGTAGACAAATTATCGAGGCTTCACCCCCCCCCCCCCGTTTCCTATGCGTACGCACATTGTCCGAAGACCCCCCATACGCAAGCGTACACATTTGGGTTAACCCCCCCCCTCCCCGCTCCATGCATACGTACTCAATGGATGGCCCCTTATTACTGCGCAAGGCTGTCATGAAGCAAGGTGCCTCGGACCAGGATAGATGCATCACTGCACTGGGAGTTTTCCAAACTGGTTACTCCGACCCTTCAAATTCCCAAGCCAATCGCCATTAAAATCACCCGCCACTCCCGTCATTTCAAGGGTATCAAGTTTTCCACTCTGCAGCACCTCCTCGCAAATTCGCCTTCAATGTTATCCCCATCATCCGATCCAACTGTCTGCGCTCTTCAACTAGAAGCTGACCTGAAGGCAGCGCTGGACAAGCTGGCTCCATTAAAACCACGAACCACGAGGCGGCCTTCCCACGACGCTTGCTGGCTCTCAAGAGACGCCATCCTTGCTAAGTGAATCAGGAGGCACCTTGAGAGGATCGAGTCCCGCAGTGGTCTTCCTGCTGATCGAGTTGCCTACAGAGCTGCCTGCAGGAAAACTAACGACCTTATCCTTGCCTCACGTTCCTCCTACATTGAAGAACGCATCAAAACAGCTACAGGAAAACCATGCATCCTTTGTAAAACCCTCCAGGATCTTCTACATCCTGGTAGCAACATGGTCCCTCACCTTAGCGATCCCCTGGCCTCACTGAAACTTGCCACCTCTTTCAAAACTTACTTCACCAACAGACTGATGACCATCGCAAACTCCTGCACGTCTTCCCTCACATCGCACCATTGTACCCCATCCCGTTTTCTGAAATTGAAAGCACTCAACGGAGACACAATTCTAACAATGTTCAAGCCGGTGTCTTCAAAAGACGTTTCTCTTTGATTCAATCACTCCACATGAAGTCATCTCCACTCGATGTCCTCCCAGGTTCCTTGTTCAAGCAATGTGCTCCGGAACTCGCCATCATGATCAGGAACATCGCAAATGCCTCATTCTCTACGGGGTGTTGTCCATCCAACCTCAAATCTGGCCCGGTTTCCCCCCCTGTTAAAGAAACCAAGTCGCGACCCTGATGACCTGTCTAGCTATCGTCCAATCACTAATCTCTCGAACCTCTCAACTCCTCGAAAGACTCGCCCTCGCCCAGCTAAAACCCCACATCACCTCCTCCCCAAACTACTGCTCCTTCCAGTCCGCTTACCGTCAAAACTACTCCACAGAAACAGCACTCACCAGAGTCCTCGATGACATTTTAATGATTATTGACTCCCGACTCCATCGTTACTCTCGTAAGTCTGGACATTAATCGGCCTTTGACACCGTCAACCACTCGCTCCTTACTTCCCTCCTGAAATCCGACTTCGGTATATGTGGCTCAGCACTCAAGTGGATACTGTCGTACCTTTATGATCGGCAATCCTCTGTCAGGGTGGGATCGTCCACATCTCCTGAAACAAGACCGTTATGTGGCATCCCCCATTGCTCCGTACTCGGCTGTTAACAGCCTACACTTCCCCAATCGGCCGCCTCATCTCAAGCTTCAGTGTTATGCACCACTCATATGTGGACAACACTATTCTGTTCACCGCCATCAATTCTACCAATGCGTCTGAATTTGAGAGGCTCTCGGAATGCACCACTGCCCTGCAACAGCGGTTCTCTGCACACAACCTTGCCCTTAAACCGTCAAAGTCAGTGGCCATCATGTTAGGTACCAGGCAACGTCTCAACTCATCAGCGCTCTCAACACACATACACATCTTTGGTCACAGCATCAGGTTCACCCATCACTTCAGCTACCTCGGTGTCCTCTTAGATTCAACTTTATCCTTCGACCGTCAAACCAATCATATCATCAGTTCATGGAACTTTCACCTGAAGGCTCTCAGACACCTACGTCCTCTCATCTCCACTGAAACTGCCAACACATTGGCATGTTGCATAGTTGGGTCTCGCCTCGACTATTGCAACTCCGTCCTAGTCCGACCCTCCTGTGGCAACCTCAAAAAACTTCAATGACTACAAAACCACCTGGCACGCACTCATCCCCGTCTCGACTCACTTGCCTGTCTCCGTACCCTCAACTGGCTACCCATTGCCAGCAGGGTCACATACAAGATCGCCTGCCTCTGCCACCATGCCTTCACATCTGCCTGCCCCTCGTACCTCTCTTCATTATTGACGACTTGCAGCACAGCACACGGCAGATGCCTTTGCAGTGCGACTCACGACCTCCTCTTGATATCAAGATCCAGGACGGTCACGTCTATGCGCTGCTTCTTAGTGACTGCCCCAACAGTCTGGAACGCAATCCCTCTGCACATTCGCAGTATCACCTCAATCGCCTCCTTCAAGAGACACTTAAAAACTCACCTCTACAACCACGCTTTCGAGTGACTCTGAGCTTGGCTCCACGCCTCTGAGTTGCGGCTGTTAGGTCCGCAAATTTGCGCGCGTTATAAATTGCATTATTATTTATTATTATTACAGTCTGCAGAAGTTTCACGGTAATTTTCAAATTTGCCGTATCTGTATCGTGATGCCAGTGTCAGTTAGTCGGATAAAAGCCACCCCCCCCCCCCCCATTAAAATAGTCATCAAAATGCTATAAACTGAATCCCCAGCTAAGGTGGCTGATGAGAGCTCAATGCTTACCCAGGCAGGTAAACAGGTAGGCCCCGCCCTCCTGCCCTCTCACCCCTGATTTTGGCGGGAAATCAGCATCAGGTTCACAGCAGTGAAGGTGCCAACCCCGTGAGGCAGTTTGGAACGGGCTAAAATAAAAGTGATGATTAAAAGAAATCTACCTACAAAAAGTCTCCACGACCCACTGTTGTGCGCCCGTTGACACCTGAATTGACTGAGTTTATTTTTAAACAATTAATGTGCCACCACTGGACTGGACAATTCGGAAGTGCTACACCAGGACCACAAAATCGCCCGCTGTTTTCAAATTACTACACGGAATATTGAACGTCCACTGTGAAGCAGAGGGCACAGAAGACTCTTTGGTGAATGCCCCTCTGCAGGAATAACCAGGGGCGGCCTGACGGGGTTCAAACCGCGAGCCTCCACAACAAGCGGGGAATGCCACTGCCGCTGGGCCGTGTGTCACTAACCCATGTCGAGGACTTGATCTACCAGACTGCCACTTCCCATCCGCGCTGTGTTCCCACGGCGCTCTGCAGGACACAACCCTTCTCTTTCTGCACCTTCCCTCGCTCTCGCTCATTCACGACGCACTGGACAGGCAAGAGTGCGTGATGCCATACATTCTGACCTCAGCACTGTTCGAATTGGGAATTCCCTCTCATCATCCCTCTTCCCAAGTTCTCACAAACTTGCTCAATTTGAGAAACGCGTAAATTATTGTCTATTACTTTAACCGTGTTATTTTCTTGGTTCTTTCGGTAAAGTCACGTAGAAGGGAAACAATAAAATAATAAAAATATAAAACAATAAACATTATTGTTTCCCCTCTACGTGACTTTACGGGAAAAACCAAGTATATGAATCCCTACAGTCACGAAAGCTTTAAATCGAAATTTAACCGTGTTGTTGGTCGCTTGGCATTTTGGGGCTTTGGCGCTGTGCTCGGGATCTGTGATACACAAAAAGAGAGATTCGAACTCAGCATCTCAGCTTTGTCAGCTCAGCCCTCAGACCTCCGAGCAACCAGGGCCTCATCCGAGAGCTCAGAACCTGAAGCACCAATAGAGAACTGGAAATGGCGGTAAGGCGAACGGTGACGCCAACGAGTTATAAACATGGAGAGAAGGGCAAGGGGGCTTACCAGGACCAGGCGCTTCTGCAGCGTAGGGCAGAGAGACGTAAAGCTGTTAGCTGGTCGCAGCTGCAAGCCCCGGCAAGGAGAGCGTAAGCAGGAAGGGAAGCAAGGCCAAGGGGGTGCGCAGCAATCAGTCAGAGACAGAAACGAGCACGCGGAGAGACAAACAAGAAATATAACGACAGCAACAAAGAGGAGTGCGGCAGTGCAGCGACAGTTAAAGGTGGCGGCGCAACAGAGCATCGCTGCCATTAGCACCGGCATTAAGGGTCAATTAAGGTTTAATTGGGACCAAAAGATTCCACGCTTCTCAGGGAATTCTGTAGATTGGAAGTAAATGGCAGGAGTTCATCAGCGCGAAGGCCACGGGTTCAGAGAATTAAATGCTCATGCTTAATCTTACTTGCAGGGGTTAAATCAGAGTTATTACATCGACAATGGGGATGGCAAAAGGCATGATTGTAACATGACAGCGGTAGCAGCAAACAATGGTGGCTACACCGTACTGATCATTCGTAACACAGTCCCCCTCATTGTTGTCTTTCTGCTGTCTGAAAGAGTCATCATCAGCCGTGATCAATTCAATGCTGGATAACGGCCTTCCACAAGCCATAGCCATCTCTCACGATCCTGCGATGTAATAATCCACCCAGCTCATGTGTGTTTTTACTTCTTTTAAGTTGAGAGGACCGATCCTATGGTCACGAGCATGCCGTCTAGAAATCACCGCTTGTGACCATTTTGGCTCTTCGACCACAACTCAAGGAGTTCAGAGAATTGTGGCCACAAGTGACAAAATTGGCACACATTCACAGTTCGTGAATTGAGGAAGGTTGTAAGGAAGACCTTGGGTATTTTTTCTTAAATCTATTTATTTCCAGCTGCTTTAACTTGTCCGTTGTGATGGGTTTTCTCGTCATTCAACAATTTGAAAAATCACAGTTTTCGTTCTTCATTATTAATACTCTCATTTGTTTCCAGCCTGCAGGCCCTTTCCTGTCTGGTGAGTTTCCCATCATTTATATCGAGTATTAAATGGGTTACTTTGCTGCGAAGTCGGCAGCAGGATAAATAAAAGTCAAAAACAAGTAATGCGTCTCCCTGCCCAAACAAAGCATTGGGCACTTCTCCATTGGTGGTGCTTTAGCCAGAGGTGGAATGTCCACATTCCCGTCAGGAATGAGTCTCTCCAAAGAATGACCACTTGATTTGCCACAACATGGTAAAGTGCAAATGACTCAATTGGGATTTTACTGGAAGAGGAATGACCCAGGTCCCTTTCGCATATGAGACTCATGCTGGTCTCTTCAGTTCTCACCTGGTTAAAAAAGAAGAAACTCAATTTAAACGTCATATCAGTGACCATCACATATCTGCCCTGACCAGTTGACCTATGCCCACACCCAGTGCAGTGATTGTGCATGGAATAACTATCAGTCTCTACCGACATTCACACATTTGACATTTTCACAATGCGACGTTGTATTGCACCCGCTTTGTCGACGTCCAAGAGATGATGAACCAAGATCCGTCCTCGATTGGAAATTGAACTCACAAAATTCCCGACTGTGATACGGCCAAAAATCTAACGGGGAGACGGAAGGTCTAATTGGCAAAAAGAAATATGAAACCACTCAGAACAGTATCCCCCTTAAGACTTTGCCACCATCGTCATTGGCCCCTGAACAGCACCTCGCTAGCAGCACACACAGCAGTCGCTCCCAATTAAGAGCCGACAGTTAGCCAGCAGGGCACGGCTATGAAGGTGGGGTCGGGGGAAGGACGACCCGGGTGTCTAGAGGACATGCTCCTAAGTCTGGATGAACCCCCTGGGAGGCGTTGGCTGCGGTGAGGGTGGAAGTGTTAAGACTGTGAATGAAATTAGTGATGACAATTTTCAGCGATGAAGTGGGGTTTTTGAATTCTTTTTTTTAATTCAACGACCGACTATGAATTTACAAATTCCGTGGGGAGTGGCGATTGCTATGACTGCTGCCCATCTAAGACGAAGAGCACGGCCGACTGCAACGACTTGAAGTTAACGAGTCTGAAGACACAAACTTATCGTTTAGTATTATGAATTCGAGTTTAGAAATATCACGTCCGCCGAGCGCCGAGGAAGAGACCAAAACGTTGTGATTGGTTACGTATGTATGTAAATAGAAAGATTTACCAAGTTAAATGATTGGCCCACCTGATAATATCCAATGGGGAAAAAATTGTGAGCCCCTAACACCCCGTAATTTGAAAAAACTAAACAGCAGATTGAACGTTTGTCTATTTTAGTCGACGAGATTAACAGTGACGACATGTAATCCCCAGACTCAGACTTGACTAATATCCACAAGTTTGCATCTCCGATTAGCATGGTTGGCTATGTACGCTGCAAAAGAGGCTCTACATACATACATACAGGTTGTCATTGACTAGACGAACACCATGACTGAATTCAAAAGTTCTCATTAAGTTAACAATGGGATAGGGGAGCTGCAGTGCTGGGGGAAGAGGGACGTGGGCGAGATGAGGTGGGCACCAGGGAGGGGGTGCCGTTGACTTACCGATGGGGGATGCGCCTCCACCTTCATGATGTCCTCGTAGATCTCGTCCCCTTCCACGTCGCACGGCACGCAGTCGTACAGCTCCTCCTCGTTCTCGATCTCTCGCTCACTGCCGGGGGAGGCGCGCAAACGTTAGCGGCGCATCAGACAAGGCATGTGCTCTCCTCCCGCTCGGCCTGCTGCTGCCCGAGCCCACGAAAGCTGTCCCCGCGATCGCGCGGGGCCACGGCCACCATCGCTCGCACCTCCGCGGCAAAAAACCCGAGCTCGCCGCTCCGTCCGCGTCCCTTGGATGCCGTTGTGTTATCGGTGAACGTGTGCGCCCCGCGTGTGCCTCACGTAACCGTGGTGTACGCTGGGTACCCTCGCGGTTACTCTTCCATGCTGTCTCGTCAGCGCGAAAGAGTCGGGAAAACTACTACGTATTTGTGTACGTCCAACTTCTTCCGCACTGTACGTGGTGGTGGCCAGTCTATCCATAGGTGGATTGCAATGAGGGTGGCTGGAGTTGTTTAACAAAGCTGAACTCATGGGGGATTCTATCCGTGCCCATTGCATAAGTGGAGAGTTTCTGTTTTTCTTTGGAATAAATTAATATTATATTGCGTAAAGCATTACACTAATATTACTGACATGCATTGGTTTTTTTTCCCTAAACATTTTCTTAGAATGTTTCCCTCAAGTCAGATTAACCTTTAGCCCAAGCACATCAGCATCAGCAGCCGCCATGTATGTATGTATGCTGAACTTCTTCCACACCGTACCTAACTAACTGTGATAATCGGAGGTGCGGGACATGATCTATCCACTCCCCAAGCCGCTGCTGCCATCTCTCACGGTTCTGCAGTGCAACAATCCACCTGGCTACTGCACGCGAGCCGATTCCACTGCTCTGTCTCCGCGGTGGAGGGGCCTCTCGGGCACGTTTCCCTGCTCTTAGCCCACCGCACAAGCGGCGCTGTCCTGGCGCAGAGAGGTTTGCTGAACCGGGCTCGGCTCGGACGCGTCGCGTTCTCCAGACTCGAAATTATTTCGCCTTCCGGCTCGACCTGGCCACTTGGCTTGCTCCATTCGCCTGGGCCAGTGGCTGCACGGTTCCCTCAAGAAGCGATGGGCGGCGAATTGTCGCGGAGTGCCACTGTGAGGTCCGCAGTTCAATCACGTCCCGGGGGAGGAACGGTGGAAATGGACCTTCTCCGCTGGTTGTTCAGGCCGCCCTGCTCGTGCCGTGAATTTAACAGCCGGCCGCCCGGGGACTCTCGGTCGCTGGTACAAAACCAACCTCAATAATTCAGCGAGCTCAACTCCTGAACGGCTCCACAGAGTGACGTGGCGCACGTAGAAAATTCAGGCCGATTCTAAGATTTTTCGCGGCTATGTTTGACCCTCTGCAACCAAGGTTGAAAGCATTTAATGCATTCGCTCTGTCCATGTGTGTGTCTGCCTCTCCTGTCTGTCTGTTTTTAACATGAGGCCACAAGAACTCTGGCATAAGATGATGAAATGTAAATACAATTTTGTAGGAAGCTGTGTGGCTATTAGGAACGTAGTCTACAGTAAACAAACCAAATTGACCAAAGGGTTGCCCAAAACCAAGCCACGTTTTTGTCCCGACAGCTACCCACTGGCTTCCGTGCTGCTGACCCAACACTTTTGGGGACAGGGCGCACGTTGTAAAGCGTGATAAGATTCCATGCGCAAGAGCGTGATTTTGCTTGCCTCTCTTGCTTTGAACATGACAGAGCGGAATTGGAGGAAGAAATCAACGACGTCATCCCACGGGATCCACACTGAACATCATTAACGAGCACACACGAGCCTGCCAGTTGAGCACTTGGGTTCGAGAACCAAATTCTTTGCAAATTAAACATTAAAGGAACTGCCAACTGTGCAGGGAAGTACATAATCATGCTGTTTGCTACCAGCTAAATACCTATGCAGATTTGGAGCACAGTGTTTGGCGGGGAAGCGATTCTGTGGCCTGTGCCATGTCGAACATTATGAGCTCGTGAGCAGGCTGACTTGTTCCCGCTAAAGCGATACAACTTTGAACTCCTTCCAACTCGCTCACCATTAGGCCGCTCAATGCGACCGCATTTCAAGACTGCTCTATGTAAACCATGGACTTATTTATTTGCAGAGACAGGGAGTCAGTCATAGGGACAGAGGGAGAAATTAAGCTCTTGAGACTGAAATTGAATAGGGGCAGGAAGTTTATGAGTCTCTGTGCAAGCCTATGGGTCTCTTTGTGAGTATGGATCTGTGCGAGCCTATTTGTCTCTCCATGAGTCTATAGGTCTCTGTGCGAGTCTATTGGTCTCCGTGTAACTCTACGTGTCCCTTTGTGACTCTATGAGTCTCTTCCTGAGTCTATGGGTCTCTTAGTGAGTCTTTGGGAGTGAGAGGCAGTCAGTCATAGGCACAGGAAAAAATGAAGGCCTTGAGCTGGATTTGAGCAGCGGCAGGGATTCGACAGCACAGATAGGTGGGGCAAGGCAGTTAAAGACTAGAATGGGAGAAGAGAGGAACGAGTGACCTCCTACTGAGCGAAGGTTGACTGGGGGCCTTGTCTGCCTGGAAACACTCCAGTGGAATTTCTGACGAAATTAGAAAAACAGCTTTACCATCAGCAGACAGTGACATTGCAATAAAATATTGCAGATACTTTCCTATCAAAGGCCTTCACTTCACCTGCCACTCATTTAATTGCAATGCAATTTGATGCATAGACGCAAAATATAAGATTTTTTGTAAAAAAAAAATCTCAATATTTTATCTCAACATGAATAATTCAGCTCTGTGATGGTTCGTGCCATCATTAGTTGCTCCCAAAAGTTGCTCATTTTACCAACACACCGTTGATTACAGTAGAAACAAAAGTGTCACATCTGCCAAGTAACATACTTACTCGGCCATCTCTTCCAAGCTTCTGTAAATGTCTTCATTGTAATCCGTGGTCTCTTCATTAGGAAATGGCCTGAAGCAGAGAAATGGGTTATTAAAAAGGAACACATTTTTTTATGCTTTCATCCTCATGCAAATTGACAATTAATTATGCTGGTGTGTGTTCCTGGATTCTCCCGCCCTAAGCTCATGAATACAACAACAGGCGCCATTTGCCTGAAATTGGCGGTGACAGCACCACAGCACTCGCGCCAGGCTAGATACATGTTGAGTCCACGTGACGTGTCGAAGGCTCGCTGGCAAGAGGTCACGGTACAGACCCAAGTGCCGTGTGTTGACTGACTGAAAATGACAGAGATACGCCATGCACTAACCGCTGACACTTCAGCTACCCGCACGACCACATTAGATACACGTACACACACACGTACCCATAAATACATACAGGCGGAGAGATATATAGACACATGAAGATACACACAAATGCATGCACACATACACACACGCTGAGATCGTACGTGCTCGTGTGTATGCATACGATACGGACGCATACTCACACATAAATAAGCACATACAGACAGGCAGATATAGAGACGTAAAGATAAGCACCCGTGCATGCAAATACAATCATACAGACACACATACACACGGACACACACAAAGACAAAATCCCCCCCTATAGTCTTAACAGACTTTTGGGGCAAGTGCTGTTAGCGAGCACCTTTAAAGGTCAGCACACTGCACGAGGACGTGGCCAATGCCCATGCCCGGCCGCTTTTGTCTCCCTCGTGCTGATGTTTGTACATCGCACCGGGTACTCATTTGAGTCCGAGTCAGCTGAGGGGAGGCTAGGACCGGTTCAGAAAATCGTCACTGGTGTTGGCCGTGAGCGGGAATCGAACCCGAGTCGCCGACTTCGTAGCGCAGCGCGCTAACCACTGCAATGAATATCCTCATGAGCACATGCAACGAGACCTTGATGTAGGCACACGAAGCACGTGTGGAAAAACACACACACACACGTCTCCCGTTTAGCAATATCTGTTGTGGTCTAATCCAGCGCTTAGCAGAATGCAAATGCATGGGTGGTGGCTGCTCCTACATAAATTAATATTCAGAATTGTCTTTTGGTTCGGGAAGAAGACACACTTGTCCGAATAAGTTCACGTGAGCATGGCCGAAACATAAGCCCGCTCCAGAACGATGTCGGCTTCGGTATGTACGTGCGTTGAACTTCTTTATCACCGTACGTAGCCAACCGTGCTAATCGGAGGTGCGGGGGAAGGACAACAAACTAAACACAAACAGCAGTTCTGTTCCCAGAGCGGGGCTAGACGCATTATACAAGGCGCGCCTTGATTTTTCTGCATTGACATTCCATTCCCAAGTCATCTGCTGCCATGATATGTGCATTAGACAATAGCTGGGAGCAATAATTATGCACATCGCTGCCTCAGAGCTCAGGGAAACATATATCACAGCGGCTCGACAATGCGTGAAGTATTTCAATGTCCTACACAACTACTCCTCGCCGATTCGATTTTAGATTTTTTACATATTCGTGTATTTTTAAATTCAGGGATTTTAAGTTCAACGCAAGGCATCCGTGGCAGTGAAGGTGTTACGGGTATTTACAATGCGTGAGAGCTGGGGAAGACTGGTCGATTAGACAAATGAATCGACCTAAAATTCCATTCGATTACTTTTTTTCCCCGTGGTCAATTTACTTGGGACCCTTTTAAAATGGTGGCCACAACCACATCCTTCCTCCCGAAGGTGGTAAATCCCCGACAATCCACATTCAACTGATGATGATGATGCTGACATCACCAAGCCTTGCCCATCACCTCCCGTCCAGCGACATACACGTGAACAGAGGTGAGACTTTTTTTGCGACTATATTTGTGTTATCCGACTCTTTTCAGTCATCAAATTTCTCACAGATAGCACAGCTCTACAATGCACGTAAAAATCCGACAACCAGAGTTTATTTTCCCAGGCATGGATACGGTGGTGTGGCGTGGTTGGCCATGGGTTCTTCGTGCGAGGAATTCAATGGGGCTGTCTGCCTGTCCAATTTCCACCCCTCTTCATGCCTGGGCCCCTCCGGCCCATGAGACCAGGTGCAGCTGCACTGCCCGCAACACTAATTAGCTGGGTCACTGCACCGATAACACGAGTGGCGAGTGATATCTAAAGCAGTGCTTCAGCCCACTGCAACTGCAGTGGGTAAAATAAAATACCCTAAAACTGAAACAGGATGGGAAGGCCTCCATCCAGCAGTGTGCCGTCGAGCTGTCCGGCGTGGTTATGGCATGCACCTGTGTGCTCTCTGAGGATTTGTCCGACGCATTTCAGTTCCTGAAGAAGCCCCCCCAGCACGTGGAGCGAAACGTCGGACGGCACACGCTGAACGAAACGCGCCACGACCAGAATGCATTACCGTGCGTGGGTGCGTTGCCTCATTTCACTAATTAACACACACAGGTCCGAACGATGCCTGCACGCCAGGGCCTTGCAATAGTCACAACTGTGTGGGCTATATAAAGCAGCCCAACTCTACACGTGTTTTTTCCCCCCCTCAGTCTTCATAGATGGCTGTGTTTATTAACGGTTGAGTGGATAATTACTGTGCCTCCTGAAAATCTTTTTCATTTGGTTTTAGGCAAATTCTCTGAACATGTGACGATTTTAATTGTGCACTACCTGTGGGAAATACTGATGAAATAATCCAAGGAATAAAAAGAGTGAATCCAATATAATGTCAACATCGTCATCAGCCAGTATGTCAACATCGTCATCATCTCTCACGATCCTGCGATGTACTAATCCACCGAGCTCCTGCCCACGAACAAATTTCTTAATGCCATCCCCTCACTGGACTGTACGTCCTCACAGATGCATTCCAATCCAGAAAATTATCATCTGTTGTGAAATAATTCTAATTAAACAACAGCATGAACTCTGTGGTTGTCAGCCTATTCCTTACGTGTTTATTTATTTGAACAGAGAGCTTAAGTGATCTTCCAGGGGGATGGTGTGGCCGGCAACACAACCGGCCACCTTTGTCTCCCCAGCGACGATGTTTCCACACCGTGCCAGGTCGAACTCATTTCAAGGCGACATATTGGAGGCTGAGGATGGATTCGGATAAACCTCGCCACCGACGTTAGCCGCGGCTGGGATTCGAACTCGGGTCTTTCAGGTTCAGTCGCGGCAGCACGATAACCGCAGACGCCACCGTTCCCCAGACAGCAAAGCGCACGGAGCGACAGGCCAAGTAAAGACACACACAACGCGCGCGCACCAGCCAGACTATCAAGCGAGACGAATAAAACCCATAGAGAAGCAACAAAGGGATTATATATGCGTGCACCTGTTCCTGAAGCCTCCCAAAACAGTGGAAAACAAAACAGCAGGGTTCATACGCGAGTTCGGCGAGCGCCGCCTAATTGCCGGGACAGATCCTCATCCAAGGATCTGGCAGCCGCCCCCTGGTTGTGCCAGACCGTAAATATTTATGCGCACATGAGAAATGTCAGGAGACTTCCCTCCGCGACGATCATTAACCTTTTCCTTCGTCCGTACGCTCTCGGCTTCTCCGCCACGTTCCTTTCGTTCGGCGGCGCGGCGCTTAGAGGCGGTGGCGCTGCAGAATTCCCAATGAGCAGGGTTCACGGCCAGTTCATAAATATCCGCCCAGAGGGGCCGATAAATATTAACGTCCACACCTACTGAGGGGGTCCGCCGAGTGAACTCGGCCTGGCGAAGGAGGCAAGCCTTCGCCGTGGCTTTCGGAACAAATTAGAGCGACGAGCCACCGCAGCAATCCGCCACCTATCACGTTGTGTAGAAAAGAGACTCGATCATTATATTAATAATGTTCCACTGTCGGCCATATCAATCAACTGCTGGATGAAGACCTCCCCGTTCGGCATCAGCGGTAGTGGCGAGTTGTTTGACCGTGCATGGCCATGCTGGTCAGTGTGGTTTAGGGGGTCAACTACCGGGTGGGATGTCACTAAACACAGACTTCAGCCACGGCCAGAAATTGAACTCGGGTCACCGGGTTCATGGCGCAGTGAGCTAATCACTGCACCACCGCTCCACCGTGGGTTTGTGTTGTTTGAACGACTTATGGGTGCTTCATAAGCAGACAATTACGGGTCACTTGGATTAATATCAGTCATGCTGTATCACATTTAAATTTGCGTGAATGAATATCGTGTCAAGCTAGGCATGTCGTGGTTGAGGCTTAAAGGGGCATCAATTTTTAAGCTCATGATACGTCATGTCAAATCACGTTCGTAAGAACAAATGCATTTCAAATTAGCGCACGCTGCATGTAATGGGAGCACTTGACCTCGGCAGCTATTGGTGGCGGCCACATTTACCGCAATGTAAAAAAATATACATTTTAACTCTAGATACAAAAAGTGCCCCTCATTCAGGCTTATTCGATGAAATTCTGGAGGGTAAAACCTCTAATCAAACAGCCGTGGGCATTTCTACAAAAATCCCAAAATCCACAGCTATTACCGTCACGTAACTTTACCACTTTCAAATGCATCGAGAACGATGGGTGACATAAACATTATTTTGACGGGCCTCCTTGTCGACCGGCCCGGGGGCACGTCGAAGCTTTGTCTGGAACGCGACGCCACGTGCAAGCGGACAGGTCCGCTCAAAGAGCAGGCACCGGGCGACGTTCCAGTACTTCCTTTGCACGCAGCGTGTCAGACGAAGGCGCTGAGATTTCAGATTCCCTCCCACTGTCGGCCCGGAGTGATGGCACGCTCCAGCAATCTATGATCTGCGGCAAAGAGAGTTCTGCAACGGCTAGCTAATTCGCAAAGTGCGGCAAAGGGAAATTCCTGTGTTAATTTTTTTATCCTGTTCCACTATTACGGCCGAGCCACGCAGCCATGCATGGCTTGCCTCATAAACTTCTGCCGCAACGCAGTAGGCCGTCTGCGCGACTCGCGTCTCGTAGCGTTGCTCCTGAGCAATGTCGCTGTGGCGACTATTTTTGGCGCAACACATTCCTGAGAAGTCAGATGCTGCTTTTCCACA